AAATTATGCTCCAGGATTAAAATTGGGTACATAATAAAATGATGCATTGCTATTTAAATTTAGGGAACACTGAAGGATATAAATTAAGGACTCATTCCAGGCTACAGTCGTGGCAATTTTACATAGAATTATGACTCCTAATAGGGTATAATTTACTATTTCTTTGACCGTCTATTAATGTTATTGTGTTAAAGTTAAAGATTCTTTCTCAAAAAGGAATTTGTTAGTCATTCATTTCAAGGTGTCAAAATGAAGAATGCAGTACATTGGCAAGATTTCTTTGAGTTGGATATTACATTTGAGACATCTGGGAACTGAAGGTGCTTAAACCAGTCTATTCAAGCCGGTATTTAACCCCTAATGATGCTCTACAATTGAACAGAACAGAAGTTGAGAATTTCTTGCACAAATTTATAGTTCATCTCCAGGACAGTGTACATAAGCAGACAGAACAGACAACTAAGATGAGTCAAAATTGATAACACTCTGTTTCTTTATCTTCAATTCATCTAATCTATTAATCTAATTTAATGTAATCCTCTGTAAACGTTTGGGAAGTGTTTATGGGAAGACTACGTAACTGAAACTGACTGCAAGTTGCTTCCACTTGCAGTTAATCTTCAATGTCTTCTTAGGTAACACAGAAATCTTCAGTGCCTTCTTAGGTAACACAGAAAAAGTGTGGCTCTTGGTTCCAAAGTAGGGATATTTCTTAGAACTGTGGACTGCAGTTGAAAAGGAAAATAGTTGAATTTTTGTGTGTGTGTGGCTAAGAATTTTAACACAAATTTAGGATAGGATGAAGGCACAGGAAAAAAAGGACAGCCAAATCGGTCCCCTGCAAATTGTCGTTTGTGGTTCACTGACAATTAATTGTCTGAAGTGTCTCCCAAATCTTGATTACAGATATGGTAATGTTAAACACTGATACAAACATTTAAAAAAATCTGCATTGTCATAGGCATACATATGTGGATATCCATTCATAATCAGAGGTTCTTCCTCTGTAGCTTCAGTGGAAAAACATTTTTTTGTGTCTCAAAAAAATCATCTCTCTGAGCTAAAATGGAATTGTGAAAACAGAAACTTACTCATTCCTTGGGAAATCCAAGACAGAGACCTTTCTGAGAGCGATCTGAAGTAAGGTTTGATTAGATCTTCCACAGTTACTGCTGCTAAGGCATTAATACTGGAGGACACTGTGCTGTAAGGGAAAAAAAACTTTTGATTTATAATATTTTACCCTTAATAATACTTTAAGTGGGAATGAGAAAGGGGGAAACAAATTGACACTTCTAAAATATAACCCGATTTCTACTATGCTATTTTTATTTTATTTTATTTTATTTTATTTTTGAGACAGCTGGAGTGCAACGGCATGATCTCAGCTCACAGCAAGCTCCGCCTCTCGGGTTCACGCCATTCTCCTGCCTTAGCCTTCAGAGGAGCTGGAACTACAGGCGCCCGCCACCACGCCCAGCTAATTTTTTGTATTTTTAGTAGAGATGGGGTTTCTCTGTGTTAGCCAGGATGGTCTCGATCTCCTGACCTCGTGATCCGCCTGCCTTGGCCCCCCAAAGTGCTGGGATTACAGGCGTGGGCCACCGCACCCGGCTCTACTATGCTATTTTTAATAATCACAGCACTGCCTTTCTGGAAACTGTTATCATCCAAAAATGATATTCAGGCAATATCTACAGGCTTGACAGTAAAAGAGAAAGGATATGTTCATGTTGCTTCCACTTGCAGTTAATCTTCAGTGTCTAAAAGAATCTACACAGATTACTCCATATTCTTATAAATAACAACTTTAAAAAATATTTTTCTTTTCTTTTTTTTTTTTTTTGAGACGGAGTCTCGCTCTGTTGCCCAGGCTGGAGTGCAGAGGCCGGATCTCAGCTCACTGCAAGCTCCGCCTCCCGGGTTTACGCCATTCTCCTGCCTCAGCCTCCCGAGTAGCTGGGACTACAGGCGCCCGCCACCTCGCCCGGCTAGATTTTTGTATTTTTTTTGTAGAGACGGGGTTTCACCGTGTTAGCCAGGATGGTCTCGATCTCCTGACCTTGTGATCCGCCCGTCTCGGCCTCCCAAAGTGCTGGGATTACAGGCTTGAGCCACCGCGCCCGGCTAAAAAATATTTTTCTTTGTGCATAGAAAGGACTGTCATAAGTCCTTCCTACCATGTGCTGTAAATGTCAACAATATGAATTTCCTGAATCCCCACTAACGCACACTGTACATGTTGATAATAACAATTCTCTGGAGGAAAGGGCAATGATAGATCACAAAATGTAAGACACTTTGGGCAGTATATATTATTCAACATGTAAATGGAAGATTTCATTCTAATTTTCCAGTTGACCATGCTTTAGCCTCATGTGTGTTTTCAATCAAGACTGTGGCACCCATTTTTGATCATCAGTGAATTTTGATCATCAACCGATCATCATTATTGTGACCATAGAGTATCACATCATAGGATGTATGATGGTGTATTAGAGAGCAGGGACCTAGTTAAAAGTGGAGCTGATGACAACAGGACACTAGTCCACAGAGATAAGTCAGACCACAGAGAGGACACATGCAGCAGACTGCCTACTTTGGGCCATCTGTGTCCATGCCCAGAACTCCACATTTCACCCTAAAGTATCTAATAACAAAAGAAAGATCCCAACAGAGAAATCATGTGTTATTAGAGTCATAGTTCATACCTTAACGTCCCACTGTAAGCACAGGCCACAAAAAGTCCAGGAAGTCCTGGATAATCTTGCAGAATGTCCAGTACCAAATAAGGCATGAGCTGAAAAATTCCAACATTTATTTCCAAGTACTTTTCGCTACTGAATAAAATTAATGAATGCCTAGTTTATCATTTATCTTATCTCCTTCAGGAACTGAAAGGAGCTATTCCACACAACTGAAATTTTCAAATACCTAAAATTAAACCTTTTAACTACTAACATTTAGAGAAACGAATAGCACAGTAGTTAAGTAAAGAGGCTTTGGATTCACACAGATACGGCTTTTGTAACTGAAGTTCTGAGCCCCAGCTTCCTCATCTATAAAATAGTGGTAATAATACTAACCTCATAGAGTTGCTGTAAAAGTTAATTTAGATAATTTATGTAAAACTCATAGTATAGTATATGGAATAAATGCTCAAAACAAAGTAGTTGCTATTCTTGGGAATAATAAGTTGTTTTAAAGGATGCATTTGACACACCTCTGTGCTTAAGCAAGCAGCATCTGCTTAACTTTACTTGATGACTCAAGGCCATTTTGTGAACTGTAGTCACTGCCCAGGATAGAAGATGTAATTTTAGCTGCATCAAGTACGAGACATAGTGATGGGTGGAGAATGACTTCAGGAAATCCCTTAAACTTGCTTCTTTTAAAAAACTTCCTGATACTAACTTGCTTTTGATAACTTCTATTTTAAAAAATAAATATCAAATAAGGATAATAAAGTGTGTGACTTCAGGACTCTGTTGCATGGCAGTTTTTCCACAAAATCAGTTTCCGAATCAAAAGAGTCCTAAGTGGACAATTTTCTAGAAGAGTGTCCTCTCATGTGCATTAAAACCTGAACTTCTCCCACAGTACAGAGCAGATGGCATGTCCTATTTTATCAGCTTCCATAGCCTCTTCAATTTCATTTAACAATAGTGTGCTTACGGGATATGGAAGAACTTCCTCCACTGTTGAAAGGGAATGTTTCAACAGTAGGATTGTTTCAGTTCTTTTAGGATTGCGTTCTCCACTTTTCCAAAGCTTACTAATTCTTTATTCTCAGAAAAATGGAATAGCATTTATCCCTATATGAGATCAAGAACCAGTTTTCCCAAAATATCATAAAGGTTTAACTTTAAACAATATCCCACAAATAGCAAAAGTAGGTTCCATCTATAGTGTTATAGCAAGGTCCAAAATCCTCTATCCTGTCTTCAACTTTCTCAAAAATCTGTGATGTAATTATTTCATGTCTGAGTGGCTTCCTCAAGTATAGGTAGAAACAATGAAATAGGATTGATAGAGAAGAAAATAGTAAAACTATATCTAGGAACTGGCCTGCTTCCTCTGGGCAAATGCAAGCAGAGCATAGAGAAACATATCCTTGCTCTCTCGAGGATAAGGGATTTTTTTGTATTTGTTTTTTTGTTTTAAGACAGTCTCCCTCTCTCACCCAGGTTGGAGTACAGTGGCTTGATCTTGGCTCACTGCAATCTCCACCTCCCAGGTTCAAGCAATTCTCCTGCCTCAGCCTCCTGTGTAGCTGGGATTACGGGAGTCCACCACTACGCCTGGCTAATTTTTGCATTTTTAATAGAGACGGATTTTACCATGTTGGCCAGGCTAGTCTTGAACTCCTGACCTCAAGTGATTCGCCTGCCTCATCCTCCCAAAGTGCTAAGATTACAGGCGTGAGCCACCACGACTGAGTGAGAATAAGGTTCTGACACAATCTTCCACTGTCTTATTTGCACGGTATCCCCAGTGAAATGTTAATTGAATTTACTTGTTAACTAACACAGTCCTAGAAACATCAGTTGAGGAGAAACCTTCACGGGCTGTCTACGCGTGTACAGGCAAGACACCCTGAATATATTTTACAAGATGTCTCAAAGGTGGGAAGTCGTAGGGACTTTTTTTTTTTTGCCCAGGGTAAAGGCAAAGTACATTAAAAACTTTTTTTTAAGTCCTTATTGTCTTCATGATACAAACTACAGACAATATAGATTGATAACAGTCACAAAATATTCTTTATTAGAGGGAATGTAACAGAAGAGTGCCTCCATCTTCACAGTAAACGTGATTCTTACCTTCTCTGAGAGAACAGGGAGGGTGTATTTATCAAAAGGAGGGCATAAGGTAAGATAGGGTTGAGAAACAGCCCCAGGGTGTTTTTATTTTCCAGCCCACACAAAGTTGTATTTTTCTGGGAGCATGAGATGCATTTGCATCAACAGAAATTCAATCTATTTTCATTCTAATGAATCCCCTAGGAACTTGTTCTGCAGGCGAGTCTTAGAAAATAATTTTGGCAAGAACTCAGGCTTTAGAGTTGGGCAATCCTGGGTTTGAATTCTAGTTCCCCTTTTTGAAAGACAATAAATGGCACAGAGGTTCAAAGTTAGGACTCTGGTGGCAGCTGGTTTTAAATCCTGGCTTCAGGTTACTAGCTAGTTACTCACTTAAATTCTTTAGGCCTGAATTCTCTCATCTTTGGAAGGGAGATAATAGTAGAACCTACATCAGAGGGTGACTGTGAAGATTAAAAGTTGAAATTTACATGAAGCATTTATGGTAGTGCCTGGCCCATGGTGGGTATTTGATAACTGCTCATGGTTATTCTTACTTATTAGCAATGTGACCTTGGATAAGTTATATAACCTCTCTGAGAAGCATTTCCTCATCTGTAAAATCAGGATTGCGGGGTTGTGAGAATTAAATGAAGCATATTAATCTCCTGGCACAGAATCTCACCACAGAGTTGGTACTCAATAAATATTCACTTATTAGATCCATCTCTCCATCATTTAAAAAATTGGAAGATAAATAGTTTATAAATGAATGCTCTAACAAGCACCCACAAAATGTTCTATAGTACAATGGTTTGTGTAGTTTAAAAAAAAAAACAAAACAAAACTGTGTTTACATTCCTACTCCCAACCTTGAGCTATTTCTGTTTAACACTCTACTTGACTTTTCCTGGTGTTTCCATATTTTAATTTTAGATGCAGTACTCTTCTTTCTTGCTATATCTGCTAAAATAAATTCTTACCAAAGTTTTATAGAAATGTAAGTGATTACGGCAAGTTCACTTTCCGTTTCTCTACAAGAATAGGAATGCTCTTTCCTCTCAACTCATAAGCTTTTTGAATATTATTCATACACCTGTAAGAAAGACATGGTACTGAACCTGGTCTGGTGCAGACACTTTCTTGGCTGTCCAAGGATCACAGTCACGGTACCTAGAATACAGGGCGAGCCCACAAAACACTGAGCACGTGAGGATTGCCCAGAGTCCCACAAGATTGATGTAGAGAGACCTAAAGAAGTGAAAACAAACCAGCAAAAGACAACTGTAATTTCTGTCCCAAAGATTAGGGAACCTGTTATATAATCAAAAGAGACCCTCATGATTAGACTCAATAAATGCACATTATCTTTTGATTGTCTAAAACACTACTTATTTTATTCTAGTCTAATATTCTGCTTATGATACCAATCAATCGACAGTGTATTTGTAAATATTTGAATGGATGGGACTTCCCCATGAAAGAGTGTACGCTCATGGTCGAAGCTCCGGGGGCATTGGTAGCTTTATAAAGGTACCTAGTTATACTACTTCCGGTCTTCTTGTCATGAAATAAGGATTTTCATCGTCAACCGAGCATTAACTATTACTCATTCTCCTTTTAAAAGTAATGCCACTGTAAACTGCTAAACACTGTCAACATTTACACAGCAACTCATGAAACTTGTTTAAATGTTGTTTATAAGACCACACATTAAGTAGGAATGTAAACCTGTATTCCTTGGACAGGTATCTTCTCAAACAATGTTCAGCACTGTAATATACTGTGTGTGCTCCAGTAGAGAATAAAGGTTTACACACAGCACTGGAGCCAGTCCTGAGCATAAATCCTGGCTCTACCATATGTGACCCTGGGCAAGTAATTCAACCTATCTGATCTTCAGTTTCTTCATTGAAGCATAGGATAGCAATGCCCACGTCACAAAGTTATAAAACTAAATGAAACATGGTACTTCCATGCAATAAACCCCTGTTAAGTTATTGATATTAGTTATTGATATTAGTGTTAATGTTATTGAATCCTATGTCTTAATAATCAGTTGAATAGTAAACATTTCTCTTGCTAAGATGGCTACATATTTTTTCCACTGGTGCTGTAGTGGACAGTGATGAGCTGCCCTAAGTGGAAAAGAGGTACCATCCCTGAAGTCATGCCTCCTTCTTCCCAATGCTCCAGGGAGTCTGCATCCAATGAAAACTTGATTCAGAGGTTTAAAGGCCCAGTCCCCTCACCCTAACATGGGACTAGTCTGAAGAGCCATCCTAGCTCTAGAGCTCCCTTTGAGGCCTCTGTTCAGACTGCATAACAGTCCAGCGTCTCCCTCTCGTCAATCCTATTTCCTTTTCTTCCCTTTTACATATAGTGATTCTCTGATAAACTCTTCCATGCTAACCTCAACCTCAGAGTCTGCTTCTGGAAGAACCAAAGATGGGTTTATCAGATTTATCCTTCTCCCCTGAATTGACTAACATTGCAGTATGTTTTGCTATTGTTAGCTCATCTCCAAATCACCAGAAAATTATGTCCAGATACTCTGTTGCCCAAACACCTCCTCTGTCTTATATATGAGTTTAATATATTGTTTTAGATCACTTTCATGCTGTTCAAATTGACCACTTATCAACATCTCACACTGTCTTTTGTCAATCATTATCAGTAGGTCTTGGCTTTTTAAGCAGCGATTAATTCTCCCCATAGCATAAGTGCAAGAAGGCAGATGAAAATGAGTCCCCTGGGTTCAGAGAGTCTGCTTCATGCAGATCCACTATGCTTATGGTAAATGATTTTTATCAAGAAAGCTCTAATGCTGTTATTTAAGTAATCAGGTCGGGCTTTTTGGGTTTCATGCTCCCAAGGGAAGAGAAGAAGAGCTTGTCCACAATTACTTTGGGACAGGTATCAGCTCTAGTATAGATTTAAAAATACAATAGACTACTCTATCTACAAATTACATTCCTCCAAAATTCCTTAAAATACCAGAATTCTTAAGTTCATTTTGGGGGGATCCCATATCCAATTATTATATCCATATTCATATAGATTTTTCACTGTGAGTTCTTCAAAGATTTGGGTAATCTCTAAACCAATTTACTCTCAATATATTGAGTTCTGACATATGACATCACAATATTTTCATTTTCTCCTTTGAATAGAAATAGAATCGTCCCTCCTTCCCTCACCCTATCCACCCTGGACTCTTATTCAATCTCCTTAGAGCTTTGAAGCCCCTAAAAGCATGTGAGCAGAGTCAGCCTATTTATCAGCACAAGGAGTGGTGAGCACTGCAGTGATGTGATGCCTCTGAAGAAGGAACCAGCCACCATTCCACATTCTTTGCTCAAACCAAGATGGGCTTGAGAGTTCTGGACCATGCTGTCCTTCCTACCTCTGTGCATTCATCCAAATCACTCCACCTACCTAGAATGCCTTCCTACTCTTCTCCACCTGCCCAAATTATGATCATTCTTCATATTCATTTTGCCAGTTCAATAGGAATCTCTCATCCATCCTCCACCTTCACATCACATCAGTTGAAGTGGAAAAAGGAACTTACATTTACTAGGCCTTTACCACGCGTATGCCAAACATAGTATTTTACAACACCTCCCATGAGGTATACAGTATTTTTTATGCTCCTTTTACAAGTTTAGAAACTGCAGCTCAAAGAGACTGCAGAATGTGCCCAGGATCACTCAAGTAGCCAGTATTAGAGCAGGGTTATAAACCTATGACTGTGTCTGAAAATGAAAGACAAAGCACTATATATACTCTGGAACATTTTCTCCATTGTTATATTGTTTCATGAAACTGTTATATATCTCTAATATTATTTTATATTTTAGCATACTTGCATATATTTTCCTAATTTGAGATTAACTTTCTTCAGGACAAAGGCCATATATATTTATCCCCCACAGGTTCTTATGCAAATAGATGCACAATACATGCTGATTTGTTTTCATTAATAATTCCTATAAATATCTTCAAATAGCTGATTTAAAACATACAGTACCACTTTGTTCTTGGTCCTTTTGTAACCAAATATATCATTTATCTCTTGGAATTTCATGACACAAAACACATAAAGGAGCTAAACGTGACTTTCCTAGAAGAGTTTCCATAAAGACAACTGATGGTTATTAATGCTTCATATACCATGGTGTATGACTTACAATTTTGCTTGGAATCTGCTTTTACAAGAAATATATCTCTGCACCTGGGATTGGTTGACACCGTAGATGCTGCTCCATGTGAAGGTCCCTCCTATAATAATTGTCCAGAAGGTGTGTCTTTGCAAAGGGTTAGGATTAAAACTAAATGACAAGAAAGAGAAAACAAATCTGAACTATTAGCAGAGACTAAAAAAAGTCCTCTTAGACTATATTTGGAAGCAAGCAAGGTATATTTATATATACAACACATACATAAATATGTACAAATTTATTAATTAATTTAAAAGGTAGAAATATTTCCAACTTAAGTTCAATGAAATAAAAAATATTATTTTCAGAGATCTGGAAATACTAGAAGAGACTAGGGGGAAATGGATGTTGCAATCATTCTGAGCATTTATATAAATTGTTCTCCTGTGATCTAAGGAAACTGTCGTTTGAACAAATCTGGCATGATGTAATCAGATAACATGAAACAAAGAGAAAGAGAGAGAGAAAAACATTCCTAAGTGCACCGCAGCAGTAGAGATGGCACTAAAATGAACACAAAATTAATAACACATTGTGTATAGAATTCCTCTCCCAGCACATGTAGTCATAGCTGTAATCTATATTCATGTTCAACTAATCAGTCAATTAATGGAGTTTAAAGTTTTGCATTTTCTAAAAGCTGCATGTCACTGTAATCATGCTTTATTAAAATGCTGTGTGTACAAGCTAAATACTAAGAGTTTAAAACCACTTGATGACCTCATGTACATAAGTCCAAAACATTGTCACAGAGAAAGCTCGACTTCCATGTTTGAAAGATCTTTTAATCCTTTTTATTGGAAGGAATGATTTTGTTCATCTCTGATACACAATATGAGCTAGAAAACTTTCTGCAAAGTTAGCTTTCATGGACACTTCCTTAAAATTATGAAAGTTTGCAAATTCATGTCAAATCTTATATTTGAGATCCGTTGAGTAAAGTGCTCTAATTGTATGCATATTCTGGAATTCTTATGGAAATGTAAGAGCCTCTATTTCATGTCTAACATTTCATATCAATGTCTTAAGAGTTTCAAGAGTGTTGACCCTTTCTTCCCAAGAGAGAGAAGCTACTACATTAGCTAACTGAAGAGACAAAAGGAGTCAGTGAGCTATCTGAGGGAAATATGATAAGATTTAAAACACTCAATTTAGTGGTTTAGCCCATACAGAATATATAGGCCAATGGCAGACAACACAGAAAATACCAATACAATATCCTTCTTCTCTTCATTTATCTTAATTTGAGCAATACTTTGTCTACCATATTCTCAAAACATATCAGAATAACAAGGGATACTCCTGAAAGGTATGAAACACAAATAGGCTTTTTATTGTTGCTTAATGACTTTCAAAGCTAAGGTCATAAAAATGTCTAATCTTTTTTTAAGAATCTCTTACTAATGTATATAAGCTATTGCTTCAGTGCTCCTATATATATGTATCCTTCATATAAAGTGACAGCTATCTTGCAGAAAAATGATTGGCTCCATACCCTCTCTCCTCAGCCTGGCCTACCAGGAAGAGATTTGGGAGTAATCAAGAGTAGCCATTGGTTGTTTCCACTTCCTGGACTTCCCCTTTCCCTGTTCTGGTAACAGCAACCTAGGTTTGTTTTGGGGAAACCACCATTTCTCCATTAAATAGTCTCGATTGACAATCAGTCAAAATATCTTGTTCTGCTCTAGCCAAAGGGTGGAACCATGTCCCAAGCTAGGCAACTAGAGGCTCTTTTCCTTAGAATCTGAATCTTGAGCTAAAAGAAGGAAATAAATATTGAAAATAGTTGAAGTTGATTCACTAAAATCTATTCCTGCACATTAACACATTGATCCTGTCCAATTTCTGAAAAAGCTTTTCTCAAACTCTGGTGCTTATTTTCAGAAGACCAGAAAAGAGCCACCAAGTGCAAAATGGGTTTTCTTTCTTCAGACTCCCTATTCAAAGTGGGGCTGCTATCTCAAAGAGAAGATAGGCTAGTTCAAGACGACATGGGTGCCTTTCCATATTGTAAAAGGACAACACTATTGATCCAAAACGGAAGGTGTGTTCAATATTCTTTTGAATTGTGTGATATACTTGGGATGAAATATCTGGTCTCTTCATTGTTCTTTCTTTAGGAAAACTGAATAGCTGTTTAAAACATGTTACATCATGTGCTGTACTGTCGCTTGAAGCATTGACCATAACTTTCCTAGTCAATTCTCTAGAAATAATACTTAATATTAGATAATGTTCATTATATACTACATACACATACATATATAATTATAATACATAATCATAAGCTACTATGTTAATATACTATATATTGCCAGGACAACATCAAAAGAGAAACTCTCAAAGTTGCTTAAAACAAAGAATTGTCAAGATGAAATCACTGTCTTTCAGTGTCTGTCTCTCTCTCTCTTTTTTTTTTTTTTTTATGGCAGGTGCTAATCCAATATGCTAGTGTTTGTCTCTTAAGAGGCTACCTTTTCCTTTTTTTTTTTTTTTTTTTTTAGAGAGTCTCACTCTGTTGCACAGGTTGGAGTGTGGTGGCGTGATCTCGGCTCACTGCAACCTCTGCCTCCTGGGTTCAAGCAATTCTCCTGCCTCAGCTTCCCAAGTAACTGGGATTACAGGTGCACACCACCACGCCTGGCTAATTTTTTGTATTTTTAGTAGAGATAGGTTTTCACCATGTTGGCCAGGCTGCTCTTGAACTCCTGGCCTTAGGTGATCCACCTGCCTTGGCCTCCCAAAGTGCTGGGATTACAGGTGTGAGCCACCGCACCCGGCCAGAAGCTGTCTTTTCTTAACTTTCCACTGTCTCCTTCCTTATCACCCTGTCCCACTTTTCAACCTATTCTGGACTTTGATACCCGGAAGAAAATACTTTTTTTTGCTTTAAATCCCTTCTCAGGAGGAAACATCACTCTAAGCACCATGTAGCTAAGTACTATCTGACTGGTTTAATCCCTTAAAGAACAGAGGGAGGCTCCTTACATATTTACTTCTCTGCTTCAATTTGCTCTACCACATCCTTAGCAATTCGTTGGTTTGTTTTTTAAATGTGAATCTACTATTTCAATAAAGAGATTATTTTTATAGAATATAAAAGATGTGTTCAGTTGCCCAAGTAGTGGACACTTACTTCCAGAAATTTAATCTTCCACCATTATAGGCATCATTTAAAATAGTGCTGATTCCACCTTGAATCACCGCAGCCTGTATAATCACGGATGCAAATCCAGCCACCATGATCCCAACTTGAAAAACATCTGTCCAGATGACTGCTTTAAGACCACCCTTTGAGGGAAAGTATATTAGGATTAATGCTTCTATCAGACATTATTAAGCATCTACTTGCTTATACACTCTGCTGGACAAAAATGATAAAAACATGAATGTTGGTCAAGAAGTGCACTCAAGGGAAACAGTCAGGTTGGGAGAATCTTCATACAGAAGGATATATTTAAATCAAGTCTTCAAACATAAGCAGAGGCAAAGATAGAGGGTCTGTCCAGCAGAGAAAGCAGCATAGGCAAAAGCATAAAGGAGTTAAACTACACGGCGTGCTGAATGTGGCCGGATACATTCCACAGAATGAAGTGGAGTAGTGTCGGGAGATTGTTGGGAAGAAAAATTCGAGTCAAATTACTAGTAAATACTATGAATTTTATCCTACAGGCAGAGCTGATGTTTAACTGATTTGCACTCAGGTGGTCATATCTGCTGTTAAATACTATAAATGATCTGTACTAGCGAACACCAGAAATTTCCCAAGTTTCTCTATGACCTGAGCTGAACCAGCACCTGGCCGAAGGCCCCATCTTCTACATGATCCAGCACCTAAAGGGTTAAGACATAGAGTATCAAGGATTCCATAAGATTTTGTCACTGCTGAGGACCAGCACACATAATAATATCAGTGCCAAGCCATGCTGGTTTTGCATATTTTGTCACCCCTATCTAGAAGCAAGGGGAAGTTATCGCAGGTTTGTTTTTGTTTTGAGACAGAGTTTTCTTTGCCACCCAAACTGGAGTGCAGTGGTGCAATCACAGCTCACTGCAGCCTCAAACTCTTGGACTCAGGCGATCCTCCCATCTCAGTCTCCCAAGTAGCTGGGACTACAGGTGTATGCCACATTCCTGGCTAATTTTTAAACTTTTTTTTGTTTGTTTTTTTGTAGAGACAGAGTCTCAATATGTTGCCCAGGCTGGTCTCAAATTCCTGGGCTCATGCGATCCTTCCATCTTGGCCTCCCAAATTGCTGCTATTATAGGTGGGAGCCACTGGGCCCATGACCTATAATAGGTTTTTCAGCTGAGGAATAGTATGAGCACAAATATAATAACTTGGCAACAGTACAGATGAATCAGGAGACAAGACTGGGAACCACTGCAGTGGATCAAATGAAAGAAAAAATTTCAGTTATGCTCCATTTTCTATAAAGGATCAAATTATACTACAGACTATTTCTCACACAAAAAAGTTACCCTGTAGGAGGTCAGGAATAGGAACGTAGGTATGGACAAACCAGATTGTAGTATACAACAACTGGAATTTTCAATTTTGCAAAGCAAGTGGGTAGGGTGAAAAGAGGAATACGTCCTGGACGTACCAGTGTGCAGTAGAATGTGCAGACCACCCCTGTTGCCACCACCGCGCCCCACAGATCAAATCCTGTGACTGTAGAGAAAAAGAGAAGTCATATATAATTGCAAAATAGCACAATAAAAAATAATCCTCAAAAATCATCAGAGAAGGAAGCTATATCATTTATCAGGCACCTTCCTCTATACCCACTTGCCTAAAGCCAAAACTAGGTCCAAATCTCATAAATGGCTCAAAAACAAATGGAGTTTAAAATTCTATTTGATAATTTTCTACCCTCAGACACACAGATCTGACACTGGCTTAATTCAATACACGGAAAGGCATTTATATTGTAATTAAGCTAAGAAACTCCTTGATACTGTGATGGGTATTTCTTATCTCTCTCCCCATTAGACACAGTTCAAATAAACACTCTATTTTTATGTATTATGTTGCAAATAAATACTTGAATTTGAGGATAATGTATCATACTGACAATCATAATGACAATATCAAATTGCTATGATGTGTAGATTCAAATGACCACAACATTAAAGGATTCAAATGTAATCTTTATAACATTGCAGATTGCAGATCTGATTTCAGAAATTTAACAAAGGTGACTGTAATGCTTTTTTTTTGAGACGAAGTCTTGCTTTGTTACCAGACTGGAGTGCAGTGGTGTGATCTCCTGGGTTCAAGCAATTCATCTGCCTCAGCCTCCTGAGTAGCCGGGACTACAGGCACACACCACCATGCCCAGCTAATTTTTTGTATTTTTAGTAGAGATGGGTTTCACTATGTTGGACATGATGGTCTCAATCTCCTGACCTCATGATCCACCTGCCTCAGCCTCCCAAAGTGCTGGGATTACAAGTGTGAGCCACCGTGCCCAACCGGTAATGCTTTTTAAAAAAACCTTTAAGTTCAGACGTACATGTGGAGGTTTGTTACACAGGTGAACTTGCATCATGGGGGTTCCTTGTACAGATGATTTCATCACCCAGGTATCAAGCCTAGTACCCATTAACCCACTTGTTTTTCCTGATCCTCTTCCTCTTCTCATCTTCCACCCTCCAATAGGCCCCACTGTGTGTTGTTCCCCTCTGTGTGTCCATGTAAACCCACTATTTCACCAGTCCTTGAAGAAGGCGTTACTAAGATATGTGCTACCAAAATGTGATCTAGATGGAGAAAAGTCTTTATAATTTGCTCTTATTTAAGAAGTGGGGAGTCTTATTTCATTTTTTTAAAAGAAAAGAATTGTGCTTGTTTCAGCAGTACATATACTAAAATTAAAGGATAAATCGAAGGCAAAAAATTACTTTTAGGAGAGGGAGAAAACTGGGTAGAGAAGACAGAGATACAAGTTAGGCTACTTTAAACATATTTTGATGGATAGATTTCACTTTGGAACACATAAATATTCCACATAATTATAAATTTAAATTAGAAAAAAAGCTCCTCAAAATCAATTGCAAAACGAAATAAATGGAACCTAACTGTACATCAAGTCTGTGACATTACCACGCAGAGGAAATATGTCACAAAATATTTAACACAATAATTTAACATACATTCCTACTGAGATACACCTAAGAAAAAAGAACAACAAAGAATAATATTTTTAACTGTGTTAGGCCATTATATTATTCATTATGGCTTAGAGTTGCTCTTCTAAAACTATTACATCCGTGGCTCTCAATCGTGACTGCACATTAAAATCTACAGAGGAGATTTATAAAATCCTGATAACCGGGCCACTCAACAGGCTAATTAACTCAGAGTGCTGGTGATGGGGACCAAGGTATTGGTATTTTTGAAAGCCCCCCAAGTGATTCCAATATGCAGCCAACGTTAAAATCAGGAGGAACTTAAGGTGGCACCTGCTGGATAAAAATGGGTTGAGAATCAATAATACTACTAATGATAATGCTATGAAATAACAGCAAACATTTAAATCCATGAGTTCGCAAGAATTTTTTAAAAATCTCAGTCACCCTTGGGGGATAGTATGGAACCAAGTTAATATTTTTAAAATTCATAAAGGGAAAAATCTGACACTTATCCTCCCTTTCCTATACAAACTATTTTTCAGAGAAAACAAATAGTTGATAACAGGAAGTTTCTCTTTATAGCAGTATTCCATCTAACTAATGAAGAAGAATTCACAGAACCAGAATACTCCATTTTATAAGCCCTAATGAAATAATAAATCTAGAATGATCATCAATAGCTGCTGATAATTTTTTAAACGACATTCTGGGTCTCCTGAAGGAAATAAACTTATAGATACTGCCTATGAAATATGATTTCCAAAAAGTTGAAGCGGAGTCTGAAGAAGAGTCTAGATCTAACTACAACTCGTAAACTACTACCAGTTTACAAGAAATACAGAGGAATGGTGAACATTAAATGACCCCATACAGATGTAATTGTTAAACCTAGAACCTGGAAAACTGGGCAGAACAAATAACCCAGTTTCTTCAGCAAATAAGTTGCAATTTAAATGAAAAGAAATAGAAGGGAGATCGTAAATTTAAAAAGAGACTTTAAAAGAGCTTCAAAATACATTCAGTAAAAATTGACAGAGAAATAGGAGCAATAGAAAAAATGGTAATTATATTTGGAGATTTTAGCATCCTTCTCTCAGCAATTGATAGAACAAGCAAAAAAAAATCCATAAAGATATGGAAGATGTGATGATAACACTATTAATCAACTAAACGTTTGACCTTATAGAACATTACATCCAACAAGCATACAATATACATTCTTTTTGAGAGCACATGGAATGTTCAAGATAGACCTGATCCTGGGCCATAAAACAAATTCATAAATTTCAAATGATTAAAATCATATTAGTTCTCTGACCAAAGCAGTATTAATTTGGGAATAAATACAAAAAGCCATGATAGAAAATCCTCAAATATTGAAAATTAAGCAATACACTTCTAAATAACCCATGGGCAAAAGAAATCACAGGAGAAATTAGAAAATATTTTGAGAAATAAATAAAAACACAAGGTGTCAAAATCTATGGGCTGCCGATAAAGCAGTGGTAAAAGAAAAATTAATAACTTTAAATGTTTGCATTATGAAATAAGAAATATTTAAAATCAATGACCTAAGCTTCACCTTAAGAAGCTAGAAAACCCAAAGTGATTAGAAGAAAAGAAACAATAAACAGCACAAATTAATGAAATGGAAAACAAAGAAAATCCACAAGTCAAAACATTGGTTCTTAGAAGAGATTTAAAACATCAATAGACTACTAGAAAGATATATCAAGATAAGAAGATAGAAAAGTTATCTTATAAGTATTAGGAATAATTAGAAGGGATGTCACTATAGATACTATAAACATTAAAAGCATAACAAGAGGGTATTATAAGCAGCTGCATGCCAATGAATTTGATAAGTCAGACCAAATGGAAGCATTCCCTAAAAAATACAATTTACCAAAAATGATGCCATAAGACTTTTAAAATATGAATAACTCTATATTTTTGAAAGAAATTGAATCCGTAACCAAAATCTTTCTACAGAAACGAAGAGTAGGCCCAGGTGCCTTCAGGGTGAATTCTACCAAGCATGTAAGAAATAAATACACAATTTTATATAAACTCTTTCAGAAAATGGAGGGAACACTTCTCAATTCGTTTATTAAGGCTTATCAAAATGTTATCACATTGAATTCATTAATATATAAAAAGGATAATATATTATGACCAAGCAGGGTTTATCCCAAGAAAGTAAAACTTGGTTTAATATTCAAAACTCAGTCAATGTAACTTTCCACATTAACATTGCAATAACACAGGAAAGAGAACTAAGAACCATGAGGATTAGAAAAGAAGTAAAATTGTCATTATTCATAAACAACATGAAAATCCTAAGGGATCTCCAAAAACCTGCTTGATTTAAAAAGTAAATTCAGCAAGTTCTAGGATGGAATATCAACACATAAAAGTCAGTTGTATTTTTATATACTTGAAATGAATAATTGAAAAATATTATAAAACAATGCCATTTGCAATAGCATAAAAACATCAATTATCTAGGTATAAATCTAAGAAATAGTAAAAGACCTCAACATCCAAAGCTACAAAACATTACTGAGACATCTTATTTTATTTTATTATTTCTTTTCTTTCTTTTTTAAAAAATATGGAATGCTTCACAAATTTACATATCATTTTTGTGCAAGGGCCATGCTAATATTCTCTGTATTGCTCCAGTTTTAGCATACGTGCTGCCAAAGTGAGCACTAAGAGAAATTATTAAAGGTCTAGGAATGAATAGATATATCATGTGATGTATTGGAAGAATATCTGCTTTTGTGAAGTGTTCAAGTCTTTGGCTCACTTTTTATTAGGTTATTCGTCTTTATTCACTTTATTATTTCAGAAGCCAATAAGCTAAGCCATAATAGTCTAATAATAAGCTAAGCGGCAATAGTCATATAAAAATGAAAATTAAAACAGCAATAAAATAATAGATAATACCCACTAGAATGACTGAAATAAAAAAGAATAATATCAAATATTGTCAAGGACGTAGAACGACGAGAATTCTCACATATTGCGTAGTGGACATGTAAAACGATACAGCCAGTTGGAAAAGCTGTTTGGCAATTTCTCGTAAATTTGCACATATTTCTATCCTCAGCTGGGTCTAAATAGAATTTTTTATATATATATATATATGTGGTTTTTTTTTTTTTTTTTTTTGAGACGGAGTCTCGCTCTGTCGCCCAGGCTGGAGTGCAGTGGCCTGATCTTGGCTCACTGCAAGCTCCGCCTCCCAGGTTCATGCCATTCTCCGGCCTCAGCCTCCCGAGTAGCTGGGACTACAGGTGCCCGCCACCACGCCCGGCTAATTTTTTGTATCTTTTAGTAGAAACGGGGTTTCACCGTGTTAGCCAGGATGGTCTCAATCTCCTGACCTCCTGATCCACCCGCCTCAGCCTCCCAAAGTGCTGGGATTACAGGTGTGAGCCACCGCGCCGGACCTAGAATTATTTTTAATTTTATACTACATCCATGTATTTCATTTCCAATGGAAGTGAAAACAGGCGTCAAAAAGAAAAACAAAATGCACAAAACCTGTAGAAGAATGTTCTTGGCACCCTCACTTCACCATAGCCTAAAACTGGAAACAACCCAGTGTCTCTAACAAGAGAATGGATAAACAGATGTCGGTAGATGCATACAATGAAGTACTACCAGCAAAAAAAAAAAAAAAACAAAAAAAGGAATGAACTACTGATACATGTAGCAGCATGAATGAATCTCAAAACATTTTGCTGAGCAAAAGAAACCAGACATAAAAAGGCTCTATATGATTCCACTTCTATAAAATCTAACAATAGGGAAAACTAGTATATGGTAGCATAAGTCAGAAAATGGTTTCTTGGGCCCATAGGAGGTTTATTAGAAAGACATATAAGGAAAATTCCTGGGAGTGGATGATGGAAATAGTCTGTATCTTGAGCTGGGTGGTAGTTACACGAGCTATGACACAACTATTAAAGCTCATCCAACTGTATACTTCCCCATGCTCTGTGCATTTTATTGTATGTTGTATGTTGAGGTATATTATATAGACCTCAATAAAAACTAGTTTTCTCAATAGGCATCAGGCGATCAGAAAAAAAGAAGGAAAAAAAACTGGTTTTCAATTTTAAAAAGCAGAACAGGGAAACTTAAGAGAGATTGACTGATTGCAATCACATAAGCTTATTTGGATCCTGAATCTAACAAACACTGAAAAAATCAGGGAAATGTGAACACTGACTTGATATGAAATTAAGAGATTAATATTAATATTTTAGATATGATCATGGCATAATTATAGCTTTAAAAGTCTTTATTTCCAAAGGACATACTGAAATACAGATGAAATGACATAACATATTTGCAGAAAAATAATCTGGTAGAGGTAAGGGGGAGTGAATTAAAATAGACCACGAGTTGGTAAATATTACTGTAGAGTGATGAATGAGCATATTAAGGTGCTCTATTCTCTCTTAGTATTTGTTTGAGGTTTCCCAAAAAAGAACAAAGGAGGTTAGACCTACAGAATGTGAAGTTTCAATTCAGTCACATAAGCTTTTCTGAGCATCTACTGCACACTAAGTTCTGTGTCTATGCCTGTACCTACAGCCTTGGTCACAGCAAAACACACAAGTGACACTCTAGTCATCAAAACGCCTTCACTTTCGTTCTAATTTACTCTCAGGGAGAGGTTTGAGCCTGATAAGAACAGAATGCTTGATTTCTTCACAGATTAAAGTCAGTCCTCTGATTATTCCCAGAACTACACTTTAAAACCCTAAGATGTTGAACTACACATAAAGCCTAAACAGGTAACTTAGGAAGTTTATAACTCAGTTCTTGATATATGAAATGATCCTCTTGTCATGTTGGTAATACTGATGTGGAACATGCCCAGGACTCAGAGTTCCAGAGCACCTTATACATGAAGTTCCTCTTGGTAATAATACTGTTTACTTTATAAACTTAGGTGATAACTACCGTCATGTCTATCATAAAATCAAGAAAACAGAGTGTAGAGTTAGTAGATTTTCGTCATGTCATATTAACCCCAGGAATCGTACCACATTTCTTCCCATCACAGAGTCCACATGTCCATTTTACAAGGACGTTTTAGAGAAATTCACATCGAATAGATAAGAATTCAAAGGGCATGGTGTTTCCCCAAAACCTTTTGAAACTATGACTAGCACGAACCTTTGCTTCAGTAAACTATCCCAGCCTCACTGCATTTATCTTCCCAAATCTAGAGAGTATAGATACTTCGTTGAGCAGCACAATCTTCATAAATTTATTTGTAAGAGTGCTACAGACATCTGTCCTTTTGTCACTAGGAGCAGTCTGATCATTCAAATCACATGCCTCTGTTTCTCTTTCATTTTGGGCCTTATTAGAAGCGTGGAGAAGAAAAGCTTTTCTCCCTGCCAGATTTCACAACAGGCCTGAGCAGAATTACAGGAAAGCTTCCTGGAGATGGGCTCACAGGAGGAGATGCTGTCAATCCTGACTTTGGCTACAGGGGGCTTTAATTCTAAAGGAATGAATGGGCTGGTGAGCACATCCCACAGAAGTACCACCTGGAGAAGTCCACCTCTGTAATGGTCTACAGACACTTTGGAGTTACCCATCCAAAAACCCAAAGAAGCTACCGTAGACACTGCACCCATCCTGCCCCACTAGTAAGGCTGATGTAGGTTACTAGAAGCATTCCTCCATCTCCCCATCTCCCCAAGGAAAAAATAAGGCTTGTAGAAAGTGAACCCCAAAATGTGAGTTACCTAACTGGCAACTCTAAAATGTACCTTGATTCAAAGCCAGGGCAGGGGCATAAATAACAATTCCAGTATACAGAATCTAGGGGGGAGAAAGAAAGCCAAATGAATTAAATGAATTATAAAATTCATGAATTATATCTGAGTTATAAAATATTGTTTTCCTATAACTTCAATTATGAATTAAAATAATAGTTTCAAAAAGCCTAATAAAATTTGTTTGTAACTTGAAAAATATTATTTAAGTAAAGTTGACTCTTCTGTTTATGGTATGGTCATCAGTTAAAAACATTTTTTTGTAACACGCTTATGTAAAAATATGGACTTTTATATGGTGCTTAGTGCAAATGGTCACTGATCCAGCAACTCAATCTTGAAAAAAAATTTCCCACATCTAAAATAATTAGAAAAAAAGAAAAAATAATAATATAAAAGATGACCCCTCAATTATGTCTTCAAACTGTTAATCCCTGCATAACTAATTGAGAAAACAGTAAAAATTTGGAAAACATATTTCCAAAAGTTTTAATGTTCATAAATTAAACAAAAGTATAAATTTGCACTAAAAAATCCTGAAAGCCAACAAAAACCATATTCTATCTTTTTAATATCATTCATTATTTTCATTCATATATTTAACAACTATTTATTGATCTGGGGTACAATAGTGAGGAAGAGAAATAGTCTTTTCCTCAAAATATAATTTTTACTGTGTTTGATCTTTCAAATATATCCCATAGAAGTGAATTCCATGATTATTCCATAAAAGCATATTATGAAAATAAAAACCTATTCAGTACCTTTTGAATGTTTGATTATATTACATGAGTAGAACTATGAAGTCCTTCAAATGGGAGGTGCTAAATCTCCCCTCTTTTTGCAAAAACGAACTAACTTTCCACAGTCATTATTCTGTCCAAGTTGAAGATTTAAAAACATGACCACAGGCCACCTTCCTAACGCTCGTCCCCACTTCTCATTTCTGTTGGCATTTCTAACAAAGATCCAAAGAGATCTGAACAGTTGGTGAATGCAAGCTACCAGGCTCAACTCTCTAAGAGACCCCAAAGGATTCCTTCCTTTTACACTGCAGTTGTGAAGGACTGATAAAACTTAAGTTACATAATTTGCAAAGATATAAAATGAAGTTGAGTTACATAATTTACAGAGGAACTCTGTCTGTCTCACTGCAGCAAATCCTTAGGTAGCTTTTTTGTTTGTTTGTTTGTTTTTTGTTTTTTTGTTTGTTTGTTTTTTGAAATAGTCTTGCTCTGTCGCCCAGGCTGGGGTGGTGCAATGGCATGATCTTGGCTCACTGCAACCTCTGCCTCCCATGTTCAGGAGATTCTCCTACCTCAGCCTCCCCAGTCACTGGAATTATAGACACCTGCCATCATGTCTGGCTAATTTTTGTATTTTTGTAGAGATGGGGGTGTCACCATGTGTTGGCCAGGCTGGTCTTGAACTCCTGATCTCAGGTGATCCACTTGCCTCAGCCTCCCAAAATGCTGGGATTACAGGCATGAGCCACTGTGGCTGGCCCTTAGGTAGCTTTTGACTGGAAATGGAATTGAAATTAGAGACAAGAATGCGAATCTCTTCCACAATCTCCATTAGCAAACCCAGCCCTAAAGTGCTTAACTGACAAGAGGAAAATGTGTATACAAATAATCGTGACAATGATCATTACAATCTTCCAGCAGCAGGGTGAACAGTGGAAAGCATTCTCTGTCACTGGCCACTTGGGAAATCCTTGCTTTCCCTTCGTGTCAATCAGTAAATCTGTAAGTGCATGTTCTTGAATTACTGGATTGAGTATTTGGCTTTAAAGACTCCTCCAGAGCTTAGGATTCTGTTGTTTTACACTCTAAGGACTGCTTTAGTTGGTTCTTAGAGTCTAATTTTTAAAAGAGCACTGACTTTTAAAGTATGATTTCAAAGAAAATTATTTCCTACTGTCTTCCTATGGAAGTTAATTTTTTCATACCTACTACTCAATATGTTACAGAAATACTGTGAACATGCTACTTGTTTTCCTTTTGTTAGAATTCCCACTGTCAGCAACAAGTAAGTATCTTTGTCATATAGTAATGCCCTTCCTGTCACCTTGGTGGAGGTGAAGGGAGGTCAGATAAAGGAAAGCATACTTTCCGACTGTTGCTTCACCAGCATAATATTTAACATTCACTTAAATCATTCTACTTTTCCAGGAAGTAAAGCATTTACTGAAACACTGTTTGATGATCTTAAGGGTTGATGCTGTACAGTGACAAGTGTTTCCCCTTTTGTGTTCCCTTATATTTTCAACACCTCTTTTTTATCTTTCATGTGTTTCCCAGGTAAGCTTAATCCAGATGCCATGGTTAAAAACATTTTAGCTGACAAAAGATAAAATAAATGGAGAGCTACTTACTGTTTGAACAATGAAGAGGACTGTTCCACAAAGACGAACACATTTGTTAAATCGAAGTTCTAAATACTGTTGCAAAAAAAAAAAAAAATTATGTGAATCCTCTGGATGCCTTTTTTAAAATCAGAAGCTCAAGAAGAAAATTTAAATTTAGAAATGTAAAGCAACTTCATAACCGATTTGGATTCTGTATTTTTATTTTAGTATTATTTTTATTTATATACAGCAAAATTGACTCTTGTTTTAGCGTACAGTTCAGTGGGTTTTAACACACACAGACTCATGTAACCCTTGTCACAATCAGGACACAAGACAGTTCCATCACCCAGAAAACTCCCTCGGGCTTCCCCTTCATGATCAAGCCCTCCTCCCTCCCCCAAACCCTTGCAATCACTGATCTGCTCTCCCTCTCTAGTTTGGCCTTTTCCAGAATGTCATACAAGTGAAATTACTTTCTATATTTTTAGAGTGAGCAATCTGTTGTTCTCTTACTCTTGGCATCTACTCCATATATTTTCCTTGACTCACTTGGGGCATCAACCCTTTCTGATTGCAGACTATTGTGATGGAATAGTCAGTCATTTGCCCTGCCTCTTCGGACCAAGAGGAAGTCACATGATCCCAGCTCATCCAATCAGCTTTTCCTTCCATTGGGTATTTGAATCTTAAAGGCAGGATACAAAGATAAAACGTGACTGATCCTGACAGAGTGGCCTGAAAAGGCTGCCCTGGTTTCTGTCCTTTCCAAGCCTTGCTTACTCAGCCTGTCCCTCTGTTCTATGAGCTACCCCCATGTTCTTCTAACAATTTTTTTTAAACTTAAATCACCCAAGCCAGTTTCTGTTCAGCGCCAACGACCATGCCAATTTTTCCCATTCTACTTGAAATCTGCTATGTCTTATAACATAGTCTGCTTGTCTCCTATGTTATACAATGTATTATAATATACATATTACAGAGTTAGGATCACAGAATTTCAGAGCTGGGATCTAAGACATTCTCTAACTTGAATATAATTACTAAGAAATTTAAGGCTGACAACAATCTTCATATAGTAGAAAAGAAGAAAAAACTGGCGTTAGGTAACAATCTGAGGAAAAAAAATCTGATATTTTTGCCCCATGATCACGGCTAACACATACAGAGTACTTGCTGTGTGCATGGTCCTCCCAACAACTCTTATGAGCCAGGTACTGTGTATAAGCCCATGTTCAAGACAAGAACACTGGGACTCAGAGAGAACACCAAGTTGACAACCTTGCAAACTTGTCAGGGCCACAGTACACATGTAAAACCTTTGATGCCAAAATCTGTGCACATTATTCGGCATATATAAACAATCTGACTACATATTTAAGACTCAATAAGTGAATGGATGAAACTAACACAAAGTAAGACCCCACTCCCAAATCACTGATGGATGACAAATACACAGTACCGTGTAGTACGTTGGAGGAAGAGTTCCGGCCCTTGACCCAGTCCCACACCTGACTCCATCAGCTTGTGGCAATCATTCTCCAAATGTCAGGTTCTTTCTCTTTAAAATGAGGGGCATAATAATAATTTGTTTCCCTCTCCCTTTGTAAGGTTTGGAGACTATTCAATGACATAAACGGATGGGGAAATGTAAACTCAAAAAGTAAGATATTAAGAAGTTAGTGGTATCCAAATCAATGGACCTGAAGAAAATTGAATCTCAATGAATTACATATATCAAAATCATTCAAGGATATTTTGGAAGCCTTTTTAGAAGACTGGAGAAGTTTATTAAGCCTGGAAACAGGGCAGTGTTATTGCATTTCTTTAGAAGTTTATTTTTTGTTTGTTTATTTGTTTTGTAAATCTCTATGAGTCACTAAACATGTGAATGGACATCAATAGAAGAGAAGTCTTGTTTATGCTAGATACATGCATCCAAATTGCTGGAGACACAAATAAATTGAACCAAGCTGAACCACGTAAGTTGATCAGTTGATCCAGGGAAACCTGTGATTTAAGCTCGAGGACCAACTCAAGATAGAACCAAGAAGTCTATTACGATCTCAGTCATCAATTACTAGGCTGCCTTAGGGAATACTTGTAAGATTTCTAGACATAATTATAGAGTAATGATAGGTGCCTAAATTAATCATGATCTCTCATTGTTCTCAGAACTTTGAATCACTTTTGTTGATACGAATAAATATATAAGTAATAAGCAAACATGAGGTCTAAGCAACTCAGTTTAAACACAGATTTAGCTGGCTCTAGAAAGATCTTGAAGAATTGATGGATCAAATTGGATTCCTGCATTATACTTGGGTCTGGAAGTTGCTAAACACCTATCAGGACTACATTTTGAAGGCAGTGATAAATGAAAAAAAATGTTTGTGAACAGCTAATTTTCGCTAAAGAAATGTCAACAGGGAGAGATTTCATACTTGAGCAAGAATGCCAGGTTTTCAATCACTCAACACCGTACTGCATATTCTGTATAGATTCTGTACCTCTCAGCATAAAACAATAAACAATATACTCCACAGGAAAGTCTTTGCCATGACCATTAGGGAGGGTCTTAGCATGTTGCCTAACTTCCCTGTTCCCAACTGCCTGGCACCCCAGAGGTGGATGCCTGCAGTGTGCCCACAACTTCACACATCCTCTATTGCTTCCCTTGTTCTCTCTGCACTGGTGTAAGTATTGCTTGGGGTTATAACAGATTCATCAGAGCCTTCAGAAGCAGCCAGTATGCTGCTAGGCATATGTCTACACTGCTTCACATTCCTAGTAGCTTAACTTACTCTGAGTCTCCATCCACAAAATGGGGCTCTTGATAGTACTTCCCTCATAAGGATTGTTCTGAATGTGAGTCAGATAATGTATGTAAAACATGCAATGTAGGCCAGTGCCTGGCATGTGTTCAGCATTCAATGAACTTTTGTTTTTTGCCATTTTTAGCTGGAACCCCTGCTAACTTAGCCTCTACCACTGCAAACATGAGGGAAATCTGTTTCTGGTTGAGTTAATATTGTAGCCCCGAAGAGGCATGGGTCAGTGATTATGAGAGCAGCATTCATCTGTAGAGATGAAGTCCTCATGTCAGATTCTTCAAACCCTTTCCAAGTTTGGGAATTGGTTAGCTGTAGATCAGAGCTCACAGACTCAAATGCCTCCAGGTTCCATCAGGTAACATACATAAGTGACACTGACCAGGTGTTCACATATTAACATGTTGGAATGCTCCTCCCAGCCACTAAGATACATGTTTTCTTACATCTCCCTGGAAACAAGAGATCCCTTTACCCCTGTCCATTTTCCCTTTCACATTTTTTGATAAAGACATAAATGCAGATAAAAATTTCTCTACCAAAAAACAGTCACCATGAAAACACAAAGACCTCAATATTAAAGTTTAATAGAGAGTGACAGCAAGAGCTGTAAACTCGAGTTCCTGTGGCCACAGGGGGCATGGGCCCAGTGTTACCAGCTTTTTGAGTTCTCAAAAGAAGTCATAGTCCGAAATTATATTTTGTTTCTCCTCACTATAAGGAGAAGTAAAAAAAAAAAAAAAAAAAAAAACGAAAAGAAAAAAAAAAAAAAAAAAAATGACTGAGAACTGAATTTGGTCTGGGGAATTTCACCAGTTTGTCACTTCTGAGCAAACCTGAGAAACTGCATCCTGCTCACTTCTGGGATGATTACTGGGCTCTCCCAAACACAGCACCAGAGTGAATGGAAGGCAACGCTGCCCGGGGTGCCTCGCCCTGGAAGACGTCACTAGAGCTCAGGCAGAATGTGTCACCAATGTTTGTTGTGCCATTGAGGCCCTGTCCCCAGCACCAGTTGAACCAGCCTCACTAGGAAAGCACCAGCCAGAACCCCTGGACTGGAGTTCTCTGGGTAATGGCTTAATAGAGAGGAAACTTTTGAAGGTTTGTTCCATGGAGCTCATGGATCAGTGCCTGGGTGAAGGAGACCAGGGAAGGCACTGAACTGGGCCCCGCCACTCCCCTGAGCTTTGATCCCGCCCCCCGCCTCCCATTAAACAGCTCTTTAAACTAAACATGCATCATCTTTTCAAAGCCCTTTCCTGCAGACAACTTGAGAAAACCTATAGCCAGGGGATCTGTGCAATAGAAGAAAGACAGTTTTCCTTAATTATCTTTCCGTAGAGAAGGCAGAGCTGTTTGAGAACCATGCTGCCTAATTTTCTTACTGATCCCAAGATAACTACCACCACCACAACTAGCACCACCACAATAATTATGGCCAACATCTATCTGGCACTTACTCTGTGTCAAACACTGTTCTAAATGCTACACCTTGCATCATCGCATTTAATCCTCCCAACAACTGGATGAGGTAGGTGATATTATTTTATTTTTGAGGAAATAGGCACAAAAGGTTGAGTAAGTCATCCAAGGTCACCCAGCTAGTAAGTGGTAGAATCTGGTCCCAAATACAGTTACTGGTACACCTTAGCCACTTGGGTGCCTGTTTCAGTGGAAAGGGGGTGTGTGTGGAAGGGGAAGGAAGGGGAGCACAAATTCTTCACCGTCTTGGAAGAGTGAATGGCACTGAGGACCTGAAACAAGAGGATTCATTTCAAGAAGCAGGGCCTGAGACCTGAAGAACTTACCTTCCCCCCAAATCTTTCCTCTTGCTTGGGAATCAAAGATGCTAAAGGTAGAAAGGATCTTAGCGAGCACTACTATTCCAATCCGTTCACTTTGGAAGCCTCTTTTTTTTCACTAAGCCCAGGAGAGTAAATCCCAAGGATTTTTTTCACCCTTAGAGGACACCTCTCAGTAGAAGGGAAGGGATGCCAGGGGAGGGTCGGGGAACAGGGAGGAATGTAGGGAGGGTGATGATGGACGGGGAGAGATTTCCATGTGGCAGTGAGAGTCTGCCCCCAAGAAAACGCCTCCAGAGGTCTGCAGAGTCCCTTTACCCCGCGCCCTCCACGGTCCCAGCCCACCCTGCCCCTTACCTCGTAGGTGCTGGTAATTCCCAGTTTGTAGAACACCGGGAGGAAGACCTCCGCGCTGATGACCACTACAAAGAAGTAGGTGAAGGCAAAGATGCTAAAAATGGCCCCAAAACGGTAGACCTCGGAGGGGGTGCCCAGGACGGTGACGGCCGACATGAAGCTAGCGGTGAGGGACAGCGCCACGGGCACAGCCGTCATTCTGCGGCCGCCCATTAGGAAATCCTTGGAGGTCTGCTGGCCGCCCCCAGCGAAGGCGTAGTAGATGCCGATGGCGGCCGAGATGACCAGCATGCCCGCGAACACCACGTAGTCCCACACCACGAAGGTGCCAATGCCCCGCGGCATGTCCATGGCCGCACGGCCGCCTGAGCCCTGCGCGCAAACTGGTGTCCCAGCGGCGCGCAGCCCAAGCCAGGCGCGCACTTCTTATCCCAGATCCCCGGCGCGCAGGCGTGGCGTCCGGCGGGGAGGTGTCCGCCAGGTGTCGGCCTCCGAACGCACCCTGAGGCGGGGTGAGGGCTGGCAGTCGCCCCTACACCCGCCGCTGCGAGCCGCGCCCCTCAAATCGAGTTCTGGGACCTCGGAAAATCAGTCCGCTGTCCTGAGGGCTCACCAGGTGAGGAACTGGAGAGGTCGAGTTCGTCAAGGCGCCAGGGACACCTGAGCAGATGAGAACTGGAGCCTCCAGCTGCTTCCAACGAATCTACACAGGGAGCGCTCCGCGCAAATTTTGTTCCAGTGGTACCCGAGGGGACGCACCATTTAAATAAGCAGGCGACCGGTGGGAGAATGTGGGACAAAGGGCAATTGTCACGTCTTGAATTTTAGCTTTCGGTTCAACAGTCCGGGTCCTTACGGAAAGGGATGCCTGGAGTTTTTAGACTGCCTTATTTGTTAGGTTAATGGGTGACAGTAGATTAATGCGGGTGACAATCTGTAGTGAACCGAGATCCCAGTCCTTAGACAGGTCAGCGATCATAAAGGAGAGCAGAAAATCTGTGCTATTGTTTCCTTGTGTTTTTACTCAACAAACATTTCTGATCCCCTTCAGACTGTTGTTGGAAATAGTAGTTACTGGAAGATTAGCAATAATACCCACTTTTTAACGAGCCTTCATGTGACACATACATGCTTGGCACGTTTTATATTAGTCAGTGTAATTCTTTTGATGAACCAGTGTAATTCTCATCACCCTTGAGATAGGCATTTTCAAATGCAGAAATTACTGTAGAATGATTAAGTCACTTGCCCAATCAACTGGCAGAAATTAAGATCTTTAATCTAGGTCAGATTTCAGTGTTTGCTTTCTTAATCACAGTGTGTAGATATGTGTTATAGATAGGCAAAATGTGAACACTTAAATGAAGACACTTGAAAGCACTGAAGTAAAGATCATTTCCAGTATCAGCACTCAGGACATATTTTAAATGGCTTGTCTTGAAATACTATTAACACATGAATCGCATGTGATTCTCAGGTTTTCCTTCTAAAATAGACACTCCAGCCAAATGTGCTCAGCTATCAATATATTTCAGGCAGTCCTTGTTCATTTTTATACAACTTTATAATATACCAGTTGGTCCTAGGTAACCAATCCACAGAATGAGTTTAGTCTAGGCTACTGTATGAAAAAAAAAGCTATATCAGATTTTATTTTTTGTAAATTGATGTTATTTGTATAATATTTTCAGAAGGAAATAAAGAGGGAAATAGAAGCTAAATCCAAGTAATTCAATTGGTTAAACAAATATGTGGTATGGAATTATATCCTACCAGTGTGAAATGTACTATATATATATATTACATATGATATTATACATATATAATACATAAAATTATATATGTATATTATATAAATTTTATATATATATAGAGAGAGAGCGCGCAACCTGTTAGAATAACACACAAAAGAATCCAGCTTGATCCTTCTAGGAATTGGATTCACTTCTGGGAATTTCTTTAAAGCCAATAGCCCTAGATATGGGAAATGCTATCTAAACAAAATTCATCTTCTTTTGGACACCTAGAGTTAAGAACAGAGCTTCAGGCAGCTACTGATCAACACATTTCCGTAGTCATGTTAGAAGCAGAATAGTCTGAGGTTAAACCTGTAGACTGCAAACTGACGTCTTCACTGCCACCTATGAGCCATGATATCTTAGCCAAGTGCTTCCTTCTATGTCTTAGTTTCCCATATCTTAAATGGGAATATTGGTTTTTATCTCATGGAATTAAAATGCGTTAAATGAGATTATATGTGAATAGACCCTGACACTATAAAATACTAGCATCATATGATTGTTTAGCTGCCTTCCAATTTATTGAGAATTGGGCTAGTGTAAGTTATGGCTTGGAAGTACTGCTATTAAACACAGCTTCTGTTTTCCCAAGCTATGTCATCTTGCTATAAAACACTTATGTAATGCCGTGAACTATGTGTAATCCATACCCTATTCTTCTTTCACATCTTTTGAGTGCCTGATATATGTCTCCAAATAATATTTTCATGAAGAATACGTGAATGCTCTATTTCCTGAGCCTTTGAATATATGGTATTGTTCATCTGTTGTCTTCACATATGAGAAAAAAAATTTCAGCTGAGAAAATTCTTAGGTCACAGTCTTCTTCTTCAAAAAATTTTAAGTATTTTTTCTGTTGTCTTCTGGCATTTCTTATTGGAGAGCTATCTCCAATAGCTAAATTTTTGTTTCCTCATAAATAACCTGCTTTATGGCAGAATACTAATAGATGTGGTTTTTTTCTTTATACTTGCATTCCCAAACGTTTGCAGGGTATTTCTACAATAGCCCTCTTTTCATTACTATCATCTAGAATGGTGAGTCCTTTCAATTGGAATAGTCAGGTCTTGTTTTTTAAAGTGATATCTTTAATTACTGTTGTTCTAATTGTTCTAGTATCTTCCTCAGAAATGTATAATTCTTAAATAAATCTCTCCAGTTCTCTATATTATTATTATTATTATTATTATTTTTTGAGACGGAGTCTTGTTCTGTTGCCCAGGCTGGAGTGCAGTGGCATAATCTCAGCTCACTGCAACCTCCACCTCCCAGGTTCAAGTGATCCTCCTGCCTCAGCCTCCTGAGTAGCTGAGACTACAGGTACACACCACCACGCCTGCCTAATTTTTGTATTTTTAGTAGAGATGGGGTTTCACCATGTTGGCCAGGATGGTCTCTATCTCCTGACCTCGTGATCTACCTGCCTCGGCCTCCCAAAGTGCTGGGATTACAGATGTGAGCCACCATGCCCAGTTCCAGTCCTCTATATTATTCACTTGAATCCTCTTTTCTTTTGCCCACATACCTGAAGAGATCTTAAGTTTGTCTTTCTTTCTTTTTTTTTTTGAGACGGAGTCTTGCTCTGTCGCCCAGACTGGAGTGCAGTGGCCGGATCTCAGCTCACTGCAAGCTCCGCCTCCCGGGTTTACGCTATTCTCCTGCCTCAGCCTCCCGAGTA